GGAAAAAAAAACTGGGTTTGATCTGGTTAAAATGTCCTTTACTCAAATCGCAAAAAGATCGTTGAACAGTAAATAACGTCCCCAATTAGTTGTGAAAACTAAATACATCGACACATTAATAAAGCTTTTACTTTACTTTTACTTAAATTCAGATAGTTTTTAAATCAAGAGCAGAAACGACCAGGAGGGGACGTTCGCCGTTAGCGTCCGGCAAAAACTATGTATCGAAAGACTCCAAGAGAAACTGTCTACAAACAGAGACAACAATGACAACCCACGATGAACAACTAGCAAGGGTGTGGCCGACTAGGGAAAATTAGGGCATCAAAGCAGCATGCAGCCTCCGTGTCTGTCAGGAATGCACAATCAAGTAATCATCGGGTGTAAAAACAACTTAGCATGCCTCCTAATGCCAGAAATACACCCAAAACGTAAACGTTACCTCTGAAAATCGTCGTAAGTAGTTATAAGTGAGAATGTCAGTTTCTCTGAGGTCGTCCTGCGGGTCCAACGGCAGGTTCAACAAGCTTTTCCAGAAGCAAGGTAACAAATCCAGTGCGAGTGGAATATCAGCTCTTAGTGCAATCCCCAGTAGCTGTGTAGAAAAAAGTGAATAACACCTAATTCCTTCCTATAGTATCAATACGTCACCCAGATGAGGTCAGAGACAAGCCAATCGGCTGGAAAGTGTTATATTACTATTCTACAAATTTATCTCATTTATTGATACAAGGACACTTATAGCACAACAGAAAGATAGGCTAACATATTAAATAAGTAAACTTTCAGCAGGGCTGTAGCCTAGCAGCGCCCGGTGGCCCTTGGCGCGTTATTTTTGCTCTTGGGCGACTCAGGAATCTTAGCTTTTTTATAGAAAGCATATGCCGGGCACCCTGGATTTCACAGTTTCAGAGCACTGGGCTCCCTTCAATTTTTCTTAGAGCACAGCCTTGTTTCAGGAATTCTACAACCCTTTAAGGAGTGGCAACACAGTTATGAAAAATAGATTTAAAAGTCAAACAGAACAAATTGCGATATCATATTTTTCCTCGCAACAAGTGGCTAAGGACTTCCATGTTCAAGATTAACAGAAGTGTGGTTTTCTCAACTAAAAATACATAAAAAGTTCAACTTTACCTGTCCAAAAAAGATAAGTAATTCCTCCTCCGTATAAGTCATGGGACCCGGCTTCAAAATAAACTTTCCCTATAATAAGCATAAAGGAAAAACAAAAGCCATCAAATTTCATTTTCAACAGCCTATCTATACTAAGAGTTACTATGTCATATAACTGAGGAAAGAAGAAAAAAATGTGAAAGAAAGAAGTGTAACGAACGGCAAAGCCTTGAAAATTCCTACGTAATTGGCTCCTTCATTGAGTCCCCTTGGAGGGGTTCCCTGGTATGCTGATTTAAGTAATTTCACTTCAGATGACACACCTTGTTCTTGTTAGCAGCAGTGCTAGGGCATGGTACTAAAAGCCCCACATGGGTACCCTGGAGTTCACGCGCCATCAGCCACATGAAGTGACGGAATGAGCCGCCTGAAATAAAAGAAGCAAAAAAGATGTAAATCCTGTGGCATGCAATCAGAAAGTCAGCCAGTGCGGTAATCGCCACCGCGGAGATCATATCAGATATGGAATGCAAAGTGAAGCTAGACAAAAAAAAGACACGTACGTAATTAGTTTGATGTGCAATAAACGTTGTGTAATTTTTACCCTTTCTAACACATAAGCAATAAAAACTGATAGACGTTTTAACCTATGGGTGTTATCCTGATGTAAAAAAAATTTCCCTCGTCAATTTACAGGGAAATGACTGGCGGCTAAAAAGGGAGAATTACTCAGTCGCACGATCCTGAGTATAAAGAGGTCAAAACCTAGCAAGATGAGGCACAAAATGTGTGGCAGGCACGCAGACGTACAAACATAATTAGTATATACACACTCAGTGATCTTGGCGTTTCAAGCAATCTGATTGGTTCGCCATCTCGGGCTAATCAACAATGTACACCTCCGAGCGAGTGGATTATGTGAAAAACAAAATAGCGGGGGTAAACTCGCGTTTCGTTAAAGTTTCAGAAGCAGAAATTGCCTTTAAATGGCTTCTTTTAATTTTGTCGAGATCACTTCGTGTGTATATACTAAAACAATTATTCTTTTCAATCTCGGTGAATAGTGGCTTTCGGGAATATTTAGCCACTATTCACCTCGATTTCAAAGAATAATTGTTAAATATTGTACCAATATCAAAAAGATAGAATGTCACCTCAAACTTAGAATTGATCACATGGCCAATAAAGCATCTAAAGTTTTCACATGGAACACTGTACATATCTAAACCCAGGTTAATGGATAGAAGGTATGAAATAATGACGCATATCGCGCTACGAAATGTTCCTTAGCATTACCTGACCCCAGGACCTGCTCTCCCTGGAGTACAACTTTCAGAGGGAAGACTGGGTCTCCACCGGTGGCGACCTTGACTCTGAGTCCACTGGAAGGAATTGCAGTAATGTTGTGAGCGGCCTGACAAAACTGCGGCCCGGCTGAAGACACCTTATCCGCTGAAACTATAAGCAGAGTAAAAAGGATTTATAGACTCTGTATATCATTAGGAATGTTGGGGAGTTGGCCGAGTTGCATCATGAGTCATTCTTGAGAATTCTTGAGCAACTGTTTGACTGATTTCAACGCTCAGTGCCATCCGGGACACTGCAGAATCACAGGGGGAGGGGGAGGGGAAAGAAGTGGGGGGACAAGTTTTCTTTGCCAGGCAATAGATGACCCTACATCTACTCCTCTGAGGTTTAAACCTCTTTTTCAGGTTTTGCGCCTACAAAACTTGCATACTTCGCCAAAAACCGGAGTTGCATGGAACGCGCCAGTACTAAGTGTTTAAAGTGGCGATTAAACTAAAAGCTGGGATGTACACCTGGCAAGTTAACTTTTCAAGGAGACAGTGTTGCCACGCGCAATGTTAGGAAAGAAATCTAGTCAGGATAGAAATTGCTTGATAGTTCTAGTGCAGCTCTAGTTACGACCTCATGCCATGGCAATGAAACAAACCTTCCAAGGACTGCAGTGGATCTATGGAGACTTCAGGCGGCGGATCATCAGCTTCGCGATGGGCAGTGTGGTTGAGCACGTGATTCAACAGCGCCACCTTAGTGTGATAGAAAAGGAGGCCGCGAGCATCTCTCAGAAGGGCAGCGGTGCTCAGGTTGTAAGAGTCAGCGGCTCTAAAGTCGGTCACAGGCAACAATAGGCGTTCTACGTCTGCGTTTAATGACTTGAGGAACGCAAAACGACTTCTCAGGCTTCTTAGGGACACACCTGGGACACAATGAAACAATTCTTTAACTACTAATAGTTGATTCGTACTTCTGCCTTCTAGCTACTACACTTTCCTATGGAAATAGGTAGACAGAATTCAGTGCTATGTCGCTTTCTTATGGAAATAGGTGGACGAAATTCGGTGCTATGTCGCTTTCCTATGGAAATAGGTGGACAGAATTCGGTGCTATGTCGCTTTCCTATGGAAAAAGGTGGACAGAATTCGGTGCTATGTCAAGATTACACCCTCTGGCTGACAATTTTGTGTCTTCTTTTCATCATATTGTAGTAGAAGTGCCTAGGGTGCTTCTGGAGAACACTATTAACCTAGCTGCATTTTTTGGCGAGTTCACCAACTTTTGGAAAGGATAATCATGTTTTTTTCTCGAGAAGAGGATTGCATAGAGATCAAGAAATCTGCAATAAACCTCACCTTGTAGTTGATGGAAATCTTCTCCTGTCAGGTCCACCTCAGAGAGAAGGAGTTCATCTGGCATCAGACGGGACGGAGTGGTGGACCAGGCCCGACACAAGGTATCCACGTATAGAACAAGGGCGTGGTCACGTGCTACAGGCCAGTTAGCATGATCTGATTCCATCTCTGACGGAAGGAAGTGTGTGCACCTATCAATAAACATGGTGCAAGCAGTTAGATCATGCGATAACACCTAAGAATAAATCAAATCCACGAAACTGCTATCTATCACTGTAAATTAAGCAATGGACCACAGCACAAGCCTTCCAAGCTGCAGAAATGATAGGTTTCTTTAATGTTTTGTGGAAAAAAAAATCCAAAAACCACCTGAAACATCTTACAACTGGAACACGTAAAGGTAGAAAATGTCCTGAATCCGGCGGCAGATTCGGCCCTTGCTATGTTTAATTCAAATAGGTTCGTTGCAATATCATTTGTGCTGGTTTAGCAAGTGAGTTTAAGTGCCCATTAACTATAGAGACAATTAGATTTTTTATCATGGCACAGTAACATAATTTCAAACTTGAGAAATGTGGTCGTAAGTTCAAGGTCAAGATTTAGTCGTTTACTTCTAATTTCATTCTTTACAACCTATACGTAATTAAATAATCAATTTTCCTCACGACATTAACAATTCAGTAAGCCAACAGTGTAAGGAGAATTCCAAACTAATGAGCTAGGGGCGTTCCACTGATGTCATAAAAGCGAGAAATGAGACTTTACCGTTTGAATTGTAGATCATAACCACAAGCTATAAGCCCTCTCCATATCGATCGAACACCTTGACTACTACGAGACAACGCCCAGTTAAGAAACCCATCAAGTCCAAGCACTCTTTCATCGGTTCCTTCAACAAGGTTTCCGTGATTCCTTAAGATCTGGGTAACAAGTTGTATGGTTGATTCTTTGGCGTGACGCACGGCGTTGAAAAATGATAGCAGCAAGTTCCCGGGTGTAACCCTACAAATTTGATCGTTAGCCAGCAATACTTCCGTTATGGAAGTAAGGTTGATCTGGTTAGACTTCGTTACTCCCTGTACACTATTGCTACTGAACAAATCTATATCTTGGCGAGGAATTTCCTGTGACCTTGATTCCATCTCTGCTCGAACTTGAGATTCAGTATCTTCTGCCTTGTTTGTGCTGCCCATACTAGCGGTGTCAGCTCTCCGTAGATCTACAGCAGCAGTTTGGAGGGCTGTGTCAGTTACACTGTCCACACTAATGGATCTAGCCTCTGTGGCATGTGAGGAATCCTCATTAGAAACGCGGGCACAACTCGAGAAAATTTCAGCCAGAGCTGTCTTGGCCAATTCAGACAGCAATTTGGCTGTATCATCAGTAAACAATCTAGCGTTTAAAAACTCGTCAAAAACTGCAAACGCGGTGAGCTCGTTAGTCCCTTCCATAAGAAGTTCAGAGTTGACCTTGGCAACACCAACGCTGGAGTCTGTCGAAGACGGATCCTTTAACGTCTTACTAGACATCAAGGTTTGACACACTAGGTCAAGCTGACTTGAACTCTTCAACTCTACGACAGCATAACCCAGTATCTTGTCGGACTTTTCTCTCTGGGCACTGGGTAAGAGTTCCGTCATTGACTTTACCCTGGAATCCACTCTTTCGCCATCCTTCTCACTGCCTGGCTCCTCTGTTTTACCCCGCGACTCGACCTCTGGGATGTACACCACACTTTCGTGAATACCTCCGCTCGCTCTGCAAGCTTTCTTAATAGCCTCCACAGCTTCTTTCTTACTCAAGGTGGTGGCAATGTTAGTGATGACAAGAAGGCGTTGCAGTGCTGTACTTTTGGCAGCAATGACCGCAGCCAAACTATCAGAGAGTTGGGACAATCCCCTTGAATCTTTATGAATGAGATTTCTCAATAGCAGTGTGGTGCTGACGACCTTATCAAACCAAGGCATGCTCTCTGTGGGAGACGTGACGCCGTGTCCGAAGCCTCTTTTTCGCCGACGCACGCTGCCACGCCTTTCGCTCGCCTTAACCTTTGGGGAAGGAGGACCGGACGATGCCGCAGTCTCCGTGGCCGCAGTCTCCGTGGCCGAAGGAGGAATAGCAGCTTCCGCTTCAAAGTTAAACATGTTGTCGACACTTGTTGGTGGAGCAGACCTCACTACATTGTCAGTCTTATCCGAAGAGACCGCATCCTAAACAAAACGGAACCAAGGTTAAGGTCTGTGTTACCTCTATTTTTCTTGTGGCTTATAAGTTTGCTTACATCATAATTTGCTTCGAGACAAAAAGAAAATAGGAAATAAAGCATTAAAATAAAATAATAATAATAAAAAAAAAAACCCGGCAAACTACGTATGTTTTACACCCAGGGGACGGGATGAATATCGTTATTGCGCGCTTTTAACCCGATCAGTCTCTGTACTCACCTGTAACGCCTCGCGAACCTCCTTTATGGACAAACCTCTGCCTGATTTTCCTTGGCTTGATGATACTTCATTGGTTGCTGAAACCAACCCAAGAAGAGCCTGCAGGTAAGACGAGAACTCACTGTGTTCGAAGTTACAATTCAGAATGAAATCCAGCGCTGCAGTGTTCGTAGCCGAAAGTTCTTTTTCTAACAATTTCTGCAGCTCAACTCGTAGAGGACTCAATCGCGACATGGCGTGGTCCAATGCGCTTAAGTGATCGGCACTATGAGGTTGGTTTGCCTGTGACTCCACAAAGTGACATACTCTGATGAGTTGTCCCAGTAAGTGATAGATAATCTCCTTGACAACCGCAGGCAAATCCGACTTCATCAGAAAAGAACTGAGAATCTCAATCAAGTTGTCCACAACGGTCTTCTGATTCAAACTTCTCCGGCTACTTGTATCTTCGACGCCACTCGTGTTGGTGTTCTTCGAATTTCGAAAACCCTCCACGGAATTTTCCTCGTAAAATGAAATAAAGACTTCAATGAAGACAAGTGACAAAAAGAACTCCGCAGGAAAAGCGTTTAAATGGAGCACGAGTCCTTCGGTAGCGGAGCTTGAGCAGCGAACATCAAGACGATTGCATGGAAGAATAACATCTGGATAAAGATGCGCTCCCGCTGGTGCTGAACAGTTTGGTTCGGCTGTGTTAGGATATTGAACAACCTTGTACCGAGCTACTTGGCCATCTTTGTTGACTTTCTGGTTTCCATGATAACATGAAATGGACACACACGGTGATTTAGGGTTTGACAAGCCCCTGAAAGAAATGAATCAATCGAGCAATAAATTATTACAGAAAGCTACAGGAAATAGCGTTGCATCATGTTTTTCTGTGAGGAGCTATTAGGTGCAAAATCTGTCAGTGTGTAAGAGGACGATTAGGATGTGCGCCCATTCTTTTCTTGCCTCGACCGTTTGTGTTTCAATTTTTTTGCGTCACACTGTTAAGCCATAGGCACATACGTACCCTGTATTTAAACATCCGGGATCTTCTCGACACGAAACCACCGTCACCGCCGCGCCAGGAAAGTACACCACTTCGTCCTCTTTTCCCGCCATGACTGACATTTCACGGTGGTGGACTCCCAAGGAAGGACACTTCAGCACTTCACACATAGTATTCACCATCCTTAGGACCTCTTCTTCGTCCTGATCGACTGCCAAACACAGTAGCTTACGAACCTCAGAAATCAGCATCGCAGGTTCACTGAAGAATACAGTGCTTGGTTGCAAAGTGTTGGCTGTGAGGCAGTGACGGGGGTCTGAGGCTGAGTGAGGTGACGTCATAATGATGGTGCCATTGGACTGAGGCACAGCCAATAATTGGACAGCGAGGGCTTGGAGGAGTGATAAAATATCTAGGAATTTAAAACATGGAGGTCAATACTCTTCATACCTAGACGGATATGCCGAGATCGGCTAGAAACAAGCTCCCTTAAGCAGGTAAAGGTAGTCGAATATTTTTTATATTGTTAAACTTAATATCAAAATACACGTGTATTGGCAAATTAACAGCTCAGGCAAAAAAAAAAAAATGTTAATTAAACGAAATATCTCTGTTAACTAAACAAGATATCGAGAAGAAACGTAGACCTGCTCAAGACTTCCACCAGCCATAGAACTGACTGTTTTCGTCATTAAAGCTGACCTGAAAAAACGGAACAACCGAGTACCCTTGGGGCAAACAAACGGAACAACCGAGAACCCTGGGGGCGAACCAAACGATATCCACCTTACCCCACACCCAACCTATTTTACCTGACATTTGGTTATGATTCTCCGCCAGCTTTGAAAGCAACCTGGAATGCGCCTCTCTACAGTACATCCGGGTCATACTAGCCTCATTTCGGAGCAGCTCACAATAAAGATCCGCGCGGGTGCGGTCTTCGCTGCACAAAGCCAGCGATGACGAACGTGCCAGACCAGCGGTTGGCCGCTCAAGAGCATTGATAGGATACCAGAATCTCATTAGTGTTCCTTCTTCTCTGTTGTATGTCTCTACTTCGGCTAATCCTTGAGGCTGCATCAAGAAAATGAACCTTAACGAAGTTTTAAACAACTTTCGTTGTTAGTTACTCAAATTGTACCACCTTTCTCAATCTTTATACATTCACGACGTTTTAGACATAACTGCTGATAACATTACGAAAAACGCTTGTCACATTCGAGCCTCGTAACGGATAGCTTACCAACGCGTGTGTAGTCTAGTGAGAGACCATTCAACCACAACATCGTAAGGCCCGGAGTTTTATTCCCCGAAAAGAGAAAAAATCTATAATTTCTTTTTGCTGCTAACGGAACATTGACGCAAGCAACAGACCTAATCTTGACACGATGAGAGTTTTATTTCGTCGTTGATGCTTCGTATCTCGCAACAGTCCATAAGGGCCTTTTTTTCAACCAGCATCACCGCTTTTGTGAATGCGATTTTTTACAGAACGAGAGCGGCTTGTGAAAAATTACTGCAGTAGGAGTGAGCCGTACTGTAGCTTTGGCTGCGAAAAAACTCACTCTCAGTCATTTATTGTAGCATCACATTTCTAGACAAATACGTAATATTCTCTAGACGGTTGAAAGAACCGTTCAGTGACTTCCAGGCATTTAGCTCCACTGGTTCATTCAAGATCGTGCTCGACTGCTGAACATATGGATGCAGCGTGTAAATCACCTTTTCATGATCTTACCACGAATTACCAAAACGTGTGCTTAATATGATTCAAATCTATTTACGAGCGTTTCCTTTCCTTTTTTATCTTTCTGAACCAAAGATCACATCAGTGACTTGGGGTTGATGTAGTGCGGCGAAAAATACCACACACCATATTTGGCTTTTTGTTTTGTTACTTTTCGCTTCGTTGCTTTATCACGGTTTTTGGGTGGACAACATCATTTCAGTAAGACGCAAAAATCAAGGCTGTTTTTCATCTTGTCCTTGTTCTCAACACTAAAGACGACGTAATATTTTTCCTGTAGCAGGAGAATGCAGAAATCCGAAATGGTGTTTTGAATCATTTCAAAATATTAGTTTCGTAAGATGGTTAAACACCAGAAATGAAAGAATAAACAGATAAACGGTGAAGGCGAGAGTAGAGAACGAAGAAGATTGAAATGGAGTAGAAATTCTCAACTTAAAGAGAATAAAAAAACAACGTAACTCGTTTCGACTTCCCTGGCCCTAATGGCAAGTTCGTGGATAACAAACGAAAGCCGCTTGTTTTTCAGTTTTTCACTCCTTTTGTCCTTAGTGTTTCAAACAGTGCCGCACTCCTTTCTTACAAGGAGAAGAAACTAAATAATTGACCCTAGTTGCAAAGACATAAAAAATACTTTTGTACACACCGCCTACAGCTAGTTAGTCTTTTGTTCTCAACACCGTAGCTCAACACCCACTCTTCCTTAAAAGGAAATCAAGCAGAAAACAGTTTCTGATTTTTGAACCCATCTCGCCCTAACTCCAAACGTCATAACAACTCACTGATGTTATATAAACTGTGCATTAACCTCAAGTTCATATTCAAAATAGGGTGAATGAGTTAGTGCTATAACTTCAACAAGTATTACTTTCTAGTGATGGATGGTTTAATGGTCACATTGAAAATGAAGAGAAGAGAAGGCGGTCCAAGCTTCACAAAGGAGAAACACGGAAAGGAAAATGGAACACGAGAGTCAAGCAAGTCTAATCTAGAAACCTTGTTGGAGGAAAATATGAAAAAAATTTGTCACCAAAGATATGCAAGGAGAGCCATGGCTGACATGAGCTTGGAACAAAAACAGGATTCATACGTCGATATTTTCAAACCTCTCGATTTCTATGAGCTATTGTTTGAAAAAATACTTAAGAAAAACAAGTGAAGTAATAACGACTTCAACTTCAACCATACTTATTACGTAATCACAAAGACTAAGTCCGTAGAGACAAGTGGAAAGGCAAATTATTTTGTTTAAGTTTTATGTGACATACGGACTGCATACTGTTAGAATCAGCAATGCTGAAAGCGTGGTGTGTGGTAAAAATGTTAAATCTAAGCTCAATTGTGGAATAAAGCTAAACGCATGTTATAAAGACTTACCTTGTCAACATTCTTCACAACCCCTGTAAGTCCGAACGTCTTTTTCATATCCGGGACTGCAAAGCCAGGTAGAGAGGCGGCCTGGTTCAGAGTAGGGCTGTTTATGAATACAGCCTGACCTGGCCTCAGTCCCCCCGCGCTCACCTTGTTGACGTCGGCCTTGACGTCATCGAGGGTGGGAAATTGAAGGGTTGTAGGGATACCGCCATTATCTTCGTACAAATCAGCTACTGTTGCTATTGCGATCTCTATCATTCCTGAAATAAGGAGCCAGAATTATTGAGTACGCGTCAAATGGTAAGTAGACTTTGAAAAATTATTATTAACAATGGCTCCCCAAAAATAATATATTCACATCAATATGACGAGATGCAATATAGGTCTACCCATACCTGCAAGCAGAGCTCCCTTAATTTGCTCAAGCCCCGACTGGCGGTCAGTGTTTGAACGAAATCGTCTTCTAATGACGGGAAACACCTTCTCCTCCCAAGCTTTCACCAACAAACGAGCGGGATCTACTGGCGGGGCTTCTCCCCACCGGCTGTTCCCCTCCTCACTGGCGCGGAGAGGTGTTACCGGTCCCACATCCGTCATTCTGTGGTAACTACTTGTCAGTTTGTATTGAAGGCAGGACAGTGGGTCATATTCTGCAATTGTCAAGAGGCACAGTTTGAATCAATCTCTGAAGTGGCCCTGAAATACGTATATCTTGTTAACCAAGCGCGAGGGCCGTACTGGGAGAATATCGGTCAGACGTCTTGACAGTACAGACCGAGCGCAGCAAGGTCCGTACAAAAAAAACCGAGGGCCGATATTCTTCCAGTACGGTCCCGAGCAAGCTTGGTTAATAAGAGATTTATTATACGACTGAAGTTCAAAGGGACACAAGTGCGGTATCATTCGGGACCATTCGGGACAGTGCCCGGTCCAATACTGAGAGAATATTGACCGGCAATAGAGCATTTTGATTGGTTGATTTTAGTTATTGGCCCTCTGACTGCCCGAGTCGTGTAATAATATATATTTAGGAAGTTAAGGTATTCGTTGAAAACTTGATAACAGGATTCGATAGAGGTATTAGAACTGGGACTTCACGCAAATACGTTTGTTTTGGTGTTACACTTCTTAATAAGCTTGAGAAGAATGAGCCGTTTCGTAACCATAACTTATCTTGATCGTCTTTCTTTGATTTAAGTTTTAATCATCGCCGCCACCCCATTTGATATCGTAAATGCCATCTTTATCACGTCCTCGTGTTTGTTCTGGTCGCTTTCGAATATTTTGATGTCGGCGTCGTCATCGTCGTCATCGTCATAGACTACATCAACACAATGCTGTTAATTATGGCTAAAACTGAGCCAGTTGAAGAGATAAACATTTCACTACTGACAGTAAAGCATTGGTTAAGAATGCAACTACACACAGGCTATGTAAGAGCTTCGAAGGGAACTGTACACGCTTGTCCTATATACTCGGGCACTGCATAAAAAACAGAGATGCGAACTCCACGAACCATTAACTAACCTTTAGCTGAGTCATTCGGGATATTTAGAGGTGCAGGTTTAGGCGGAGAGGGTTTACAAACTTTAGGAGGCTCTTTTCCTTTCATATCCTCATCCTGATCAGGTTCGAGAGCAAATGGAAGCTCAGTGAATCCCTGTCTGACATCCACTAGCGAGTCACTCCACAAGTCGGCCGCCAAACGGTGTTTGGAACCCTCTGCGTAGAAGAACGACCGAGCACCAAAGTTCACGCGAACACGCACGTTCTGGGGGAATAGAGAGTAAAGTAAGGCATTTGCATAACCCAGGGTTGAAAACAATCAGTAAAGTAGTCGATCTGATTAAAATTGCATCAAGAACCTGGCAATGAGAGTCTAACAGAACGGCTTTGTAATTATTTCCCGAATTTACTCCAAATGATTTCTGATTATCCGGCTCAGCTGGGAGCGTGCCTCGACGATTGTCCTTAGACCTCGAAGGATATTCTCTTCAGGGATCATAAGGTTACGTATGAAATTCATATCTAAATCCAAGTTTCATTTTCTGCAAACTGTATACAAATAGACCATTTTCGAGACGCCCAAAGCCTGCCTCTTTCAAATAGAGTATGTGCGAAACCTACAATATATATATATATATATATAAAAAAAATACTAATTCACCACTCCAGCGCATTAAAACTTATTTGCACAAGAACGGGTTTGCTCTTATCCTTCCAGAAAATATTTTAGAACTAGGAAAGATACCCTTTGGGCCCAGTCGGAGCATATATGAACGAATCGTACAGAAGCTTTCCTATGGTTCTAAGAAAGAGAATTTGTTTAATAATGGGGAACTTCTTACATTGGTGATTATTTGCTTCACTCTGGTGACCTTTCCACTTGATTTGAGGGTGATACTTTGAGGAAGAAATTAGAAGCAAGTGATTTTAGTGGTTTAAGATGTGTTACCTTCTTCTGAATGTGAAGTACAGGCCACAGACCACTCTGCACCCCGTCTAGGCTTTCAGCTAACCGTTCGCCATTGCAGGTGAAATACACCGTTCCTTTATCGGCCTGATCTTCAGCTCTCTTATATCCGCACCCTATAACGTCTTTTTCTTTCATCACAATATTCAACGAGACAGTTTTCCATTGTAGAAGCCCACCTGTTCTGTAGAGCACTGCACGGCCATTGCTGTTAACATTCAGTTTTCACAAGTATGATAGGTCAAAGGAAAAACATTTAAAAAATGTAAAAGAAGCGAAACCCACGTGTAGCTGAACAAAGGCGTCGTTAAGAGGGGAGGGGGTCATAAGGTGCCTGTGTCCCCTGTTAAATCAAATATATCAAGGTTCCTTCGTTGTCTGTCCTTAGGAGGAACCTTTGTTTAAGTAAAAGAAGAAGCGAAACCCACTTGTAGCTGAACAAAGGCGTCGCTAAGAGGGGAGGGGGTTATAAGGTGCCTGCGCCCCCCTGTTAAATCAAATATATCAAGGTTCCTTCGTTGTCTGTTCTTAGGAGGAACCTTTGTTTCAGTAAAAGAAGAAGCGAAACCCACTTGTAGCTGAACAAAGGCGTCGCTAAGAGGGGAGGGGGTTATAAGGTGCCTGCGCCCCCCTGTTAAGTCAAACATATCAAGGTTCCTTCGTTGTCTGTTCTTAGGAGGAACCTTTGTTTACTATGAAGAGTTATGTACTCTTGTTTCTTTCGAACTGCGTCGAAAGGTTGCTTTAGGTAACAGCACCCCACGAGACGTAAAAGTAATTAAAATGGAGCAAACCTGTGTAGGAGGCATGAGCCCACAGGGTTTACCCAGCCACTGGCAAGCACATCTGTCCTAGGGGCAAATCCCACAGAAATACAAGGTCCCGGTTCTTGATCTTCCTTGTCTCCCAGGGAGCAAAGTTCGACTTCCCAGTAAAAGGATGGTGCCTTTAAAAAAAAGCTGAAGTTAGCCGGGCGGTTCAACAGAACTGCTGACGAAAAACGAGGAAATATTCCACTTCAATTGAACGGCGATTTTCCATTCTGCTCTCTATAGTGTACATAACTTCAAAAGTACTTTATGTACTTAGCTAGGTTAACAATTGTACTTCACACGTAGAACTTCATCGTTTGAAATTCGTTCACACGAGAGGCTCGTGATAATAAACATATGCGCGGTGTAACGGAACGGAAGATGATGGCTTCGGCGTAGAGGTTAATGAATGATTACCATGACGCAACACCATAACCACACTAACCACAAAACAAAGGCAAAATACGACCAAGGGACAGTGAGGACTCAAAGTAAATGCAAGCACATTGGATAATACAGACATGCACGCAATTTATAATCTAACAGACCTTTTGAGGTAATGGAGAACTTGCATACACAAACGTCCCCCTTGGAAGTCCGAAACCTGCCGTAGGGTCGGCCATGAAGTGGACACAGGTGTGCCCCTCGGTAAAAACGCATCCCCGCACGGGAGGGAAGACCCGACTTCCGTCGAGCACTATCTGTTTTTCGCTCCTAGTTACTTTCTTGGGTGGCTCGGAAGGTTTGACGAAGTCTTTGAAGAGTTTTCGCAGCTGCTGGCAGTGCTTCTGTATTACAGGGAGTCTTAAGCCTGGATCGCACTCCCCTGATAATCTAGAGATGAGTTCGAGTGACGGGTTTTTTAAAATGGCCGTGATAAAGGATGAGTCATGTATCTGGCAAGATAACACCATACTTGCTCTGTAAATTACAAGATCAAATAGAAGTAGTTAATACGTAGCACTGAAAAGAAGTCTCTGCCTAAGTAGCGTCACTCAATAATTGGTCTTTATATCACATAGAAGCAATTTAAGCAAGAAATTCGTTTCACACACACGAGTAACGAGTTCACGATTTAAAAGAACTCTAATTGGTGCAGTATGGTAGAAAAACAATTAAAAGTTGACGCATGCGGAACCCCTTGGTGGAAAAGCAAATATTAAATTACATGTTTGGCAGATGCGATACATCATGGTTATCAATAACGGATGGCCATATTAATACACGGAATGTAGTTACATACAGCCAACGAATAGAGGACTACTCTATGTACAATTTCTTGTATCCTAGTTGACTGGGCCCAGCACAACTACAAACACCTTAAACACGAAATGAAGAAAACTTCTTCACTTACCTTGTTTTCATTTCCGCCAGTATTCTTGCTGCAGGTGAGGTGAGGACAACTTTCTCACTCTGATCCGATTCCAAAAGCTTATCAAGAATCACTTCTTTCGAATTTAAAATAGTAAGTAAAGCAGCAACAGTTTGTTCTTCCATAGACAATTCGCTAAGAAACACAACCTAGTGATGGAAAGGAACTTTTTTACTAAAAGCTTGAAAGCGCGCGGATCAAGAAGACCGTTAAACTATTGATAACTTTGGAAAAAAGCTGCGCAGTAAAAAGTAGGAAACTCTATCAAATCGCTTTGAATTAAGGCCTTGTGAAGCAAGAAAGTTTAAATGCTAGGAAAGTCTTCAAACAAAGGAGCTATACCTGAGCGTTCGCAACTTTAAGCCTTGCCAGTGGTATCTCCTGTACCCTATCGCTGTAGGTTTCCCCTCCCTTGTCCAGAAGTACCGTAGCCACACCCTGCCTTTCGGACACACTGACAACTTCACCTGGTGTACGCACCATATCTTCTCCAGTTATCTGTAAGAGACTAACAGCCGGTAAATCGCATGCTCAAGGCATTGACAAGAAATCAAACTACAATAGATTCATTAGTATTCAAACTTGATTGGGCTAACAAGGAGAGTAATGACACTTCATTGGTATCCATTTAAACTCCTGGGTGGAGAGAGTCATTGTGGAAATGAACAAGAACGTGACACAAAGTCCCAGGCCTAAGCTCAGACCTTACGGACCTTTAGAGTCCAGGCCCGGTTTTTCAAAGGATGGATAGCACTATCTGCTGGATAAATCTCTAACCGGTGGATAGCGCAGTACATTTTGGTAACACTTATCCGCTGGTTAGCGATTTAGCCGTTGGATAGCGTTATTCGCTCTTTGAACAACCGGACTCAGCGCGCTAACTTTTACGCCATCACGACTCCAACTCTTTAGCATTAGCGGGGGACAATTTTAAAACGCTTCTGCAAACAGCTTGGAAGCACATCACAGCATTATCCGCCTACTCAGTTTTGTGTTATCTTTTATTGACGTCTCAGTTAAATGAGATAATCTCGTAACATCATAACCCCTTCATCTTCAAATCCAAGAGTGAGGTGGAGCGATACTCTATCCAGTACACTGGTGCTATCCTAATAAAACGCTAAATTCTCATGTCTACCTTTGATCGAAATATATAAAAGCTAGAAGGGAGAGTTACGGCTCCAATCTGAATTCTTTACCTGAACTGTGCACCCTGAGTGGACACTTTGGCCAAAACCACCCAGAGCACAGAGAGACGCCATAATATTCCTAGCTTTGAAAAACCACTCTTGTTCATGACCAGTCTTCCCATCAACTTCAGGCTCCAGTTCTTGGGAGGCCGCTTGGACGCCATCTGATAAGATCCTTCCTTCCGCTTCCAGAGTCCTAACCAAGCCGGGCACATAATTAAGCGCCTCACACAACACATCCCGCACGGAAGAAGCCCATATCTTAGCGGTCTCAGAAGTGGAATGCGTTAGTAAGCTGTGCAACAGAGAGATTACCTCAGAAGCCATGCTGTGAGCTACTTGACCACTCATGAATGGACGGCTGGTTTCGGTCCTGTAAAAAAACAAACATTTTAACAAATAAAGCCATTGGCAGGTAATAAAAGGAAGCCAATTACAAAATTTTTTTTTATTTTGCAGAACCCTGCAGGAAGTGAAAATGCGAACATGGAAATATTACAGTGTTTGGGAGGAAAATAAAAAGCAACGGATTTCGCTTTCGGCGTTGATGTGCGAGTGTTACTAATTCGACTGAGAAAGGAAATGCAACAGAACGGAGGTATCTTAACGGTTGATAAACGCTTTATCTGGCTGTAAAGTGACCTAGAAATTCTTCATATTGCATTCTGCCGCCATGCCTCCTTTAAGAATGGATAAATTGTCAATGTGTGGGTTGGCGAGTAATGACTCCTGGACTGCAAAGTAAATCAGACAAACCTTGACAGACGGCTGTTTCTGGCTTTACAGACTCTTTCCGGGTCTCCGGAACCCTCTGAAGGTTTCCTTTGCCCTCCACCTCTTTCCAACAGGGCAGCAGGACCAACACTGACCACAAGTCCTGTCTGAGCCCATTCAGCCGCCTTCTTTAAGCACGCTGACAAAGTGTCGGTGAGAAGAACGCCGCGACCGAACTCAGTCAGCTCTTGGTCGAGCTTGACCGCGCGTTCCAACTCCGAACCTTGTCCAACGATAAAGATAAAGCCCATACTGCTCGTACTGAATGGGAAATACAAATGTTGTTAGGCAGGCAATCTAGTTAGTAACTAGTTAGTAACTCTTCCAAGGCCATTGTTGAAATTGAGAATGTTTCGTTGCATCAACACATTTTCTATTAGAATCCTGGATTTCTTTTGACACTTAATTTTCAAACTGTACCTGAGAAACTTTTGAACCACTTCATGCGCCGGCTGGTCATCTCTTTTATGTACATACAAACACATGCGGTCTCCATCCTTGTCTGCGATCTCACTGTCGTCATATTCGTCCATATCTTCCTCCTGATCTTCTTCGCTTCCCGGATTCAGTGAAGGCAGCACAAAGTCACCCAGCTTAGCAAGAAGCAGTTTAGCTACTCTGAACACTGAGCTCCCTTCTAGGCTCTCTTCATGTTTCCCTCCAAAATAAAACTTGGCAGAGGAGGGTAACTCCACTTCCTCGCAGGTCTTGGCGCTCATTAGTGGCAAGGCCGAGCAACAGAGTTTGAGCACGATTAATATTAGTTTAGGAGGCGCTTGGCGATCCAGTAGGAGCGATAGGAGGGTGGAGATGGTGCGTGGCTCACGAAGAATTCCTTCTCCAAGTTTACTCCTAATTCCCAGAAGAAAAAACACAATGAGTGATCTTAATCACTTTGTGATACTTCAGTCAGCTTAATCCGTAGGTTCTTATTCCTTGTATATTATCATCTGTTATCATTTCATGAGAACATTCATTTGATGAGAAGTTCTTTTATTAACCCCACGTGTTCCCTGGATAAAGTATTTATATCGGGATGTGTGAATCTAAGAGTTAAAATAGTTTTAAAATGTGTCTTTGGGGGGGAGTGGTTACATATTTGGTCATAAAGGTACGTTCGATGGAATTTCGCAAGGCCAATCTTTTATCTTGTTGCCTTTGATCAGCTAAGAGGGTAGAAAACAACCTGCGATTAGTTTGTTTACTTTTGACGCTCCCTCCGCGAAAGGAGAGCGCGATCGCTGGTAAAGTGGCGCGAGTTTTCGAGACCACCCATCATACGTGATAAACAAAAACCATCGCAGTACCGGAATACTAACGAGACCCAACTGACACTTGCTGTAACCTCAGGTTTTGAGTAATTAACCGAGTAATCAACTGAACCTGCTAATTCCGTGTAACAGTTCCATGACGTATTGCAGAGCGTCTCTAGCAGCAGCACTGTCCTTACGGCTCTCCTCCAGTACACAGCTGAGGTAGTTTGACAACAAACTAGAAACTTGATGGGCTAAGCCAGACCATTCTATAGCACCAGGGCGGAAATCTAAACAGAGAAATGGAAACCACTGTGCAGTTTAACACAAAATTTGCAGCTGATTGGCAAGATATGGGTGGTTTAACCTTCTCTCCATCCCTTGTAACTTGGTTTTTTCATTCCATGTCAAAGTTCATTACAACTAATAGTACCCCAAGACTGTAAATTTCTTATCCGATCCTATACAAGGTATCTTCAGCAAATGTATGGTGGCATTGCCTCACGATAATTGTTTGAGCCGAAAGATGTCGCCAACATTGTTCTCCAAGTGCTAAAGCTGAAAGGGGGTGTAGGGGGTGTAGGGGGGGGAGGGGGAGAAGGAGAGAAAGCGTGGTACACGACGAGCCCAAAAAATGGCTGCAGAGGAAACTATAGCCATCGGAGGCATATTCGCAGCATAAGTGAAGTTTAACTTCTCACCTTTACCATTCTCCCACTGAACTATCAGATCCAAAAGCACCTGAAAACCCGCCCAAGCCATAGCGGACAGATTCACTGCTATGTCAGTCTTTTTGCTTCTCATAGAACACAGTTTATCCAGTAGATACACCAAGCCGCTCCTCATTACACAGCGCTCCTCGTGCCACGAGAACGGACAGACAGAGAGCACTAATACGCTGTCACGATACACTGCAGGCTCAGAAGACGCCCCCTGGACCACGGCTTGGACCGCAGCAGAGAACATGTCGCGAACCTCTCGCACCATGCCTCCGCATTTAAGCTCTTCAGTCCTGAAACGAAAAAAAAAAAAAAACACGGATGTATAAGGATGCACACTTCGTAGGCATGGTTTCAAGAAATATTAAGGAAAGTGTGCAGTGGATTCATGCAAGACAACTTTGACTTCATCAAGAGGGTTTGCAGAGTCAGAATGGGCAGATCTTGTTTTTTTAAACAAATGCGAAGTTAACGCCTACAGAAGGACCCCTTCAAATGATAATAAGGTTCGGTAAGGTCTTCAACTGAGGGCTGAGAAAGTGTCACGAGTCATGCTTCAAGACTCACTGAGCCCTTAGTCGGTAAATGGAAATATAACGAAGCTCACCTTGGACCTAGACCAAGAATGGAGGCCACGGCAGACATTACATAAGGCAAATGCAAACCAAGTCGGGAGCAAACTGTAACCAGTTCTATCATAAATTGGAGAGCCTGTACACGGTCTAACCCTCGTTTATTACGGACGCGAGCTGCAGCGAGAAAACTGGAACAGGTCACCTGACAAAGAGTAAGGAAAATAAGTTCCGTAAATACCAGGAAAAAAAATTGAAATCAGAATGGCCTATGAGTAGATGTGGCTTAGTCTGTCGGCAGGGATCAATGAACTATTGCCCTTCTTTACTGTGCCAAAACACTTAGTGTCCATTATTACCCGATCATAAATGCTCGCGAATGAATACGCTTACTGTTCTCACAATTTCCAACTGAATGTCTAAAGTAACTGAAGACAGCAGTAGTTTCACTTCGCTGTAAACAGTGATCAGTCTATAGAGCTTCCGCCAACGTCATGAAGTTTGCTTGTTTTAACTAAAATTCACTTTACAACACAAACAAAATGCTTTTCAACTGTTACAACAGTTTATCAACGAATGCAGTACCCTTGGTGTTCACAAGGAAATCCCCTACTTACAGCTTTATCTGGATCGCTGCCAATAAAAGTGAAAATCTCGGCCACAGTTGAAACAAAAGTTCTTGCATCAGAATGCGTCTGATTTTCAAATGAAGCCCGACTGTGCTTCTTTTGAACGTTCGTTCTCCAGCGCTGCAATCTACGTACGTCATGTATGCCTTCCTGAAGTGACGTGGATTGATCCAAGGTGGATGGCTCTGAAAATGACCGACTGAGAAGTGGCGAAGAAGGAGCAAGGTTCTCGCCCTTGGAGGTGACTAGTATAAAAAGAAAACATAAAATACCGATGAGAGTTAAGGACAAGGACGATTACAACGGATAAAAAACGCACCTTGTTTGGATTGTTGATCGTGATGCGATGCAACGCTATAGTGCGAGATACTTCTCTCTGGTAGAGGTTTCTTGCCGCTCGCCTCAATAGTCACATTGCAAAGCAGCTCTGCACACTCCATAATAGAAAACAGAAACTTCTTGGTGACTGGCATCCCGTCCAGACAACTCTTAGCTTTTTGGGGCTCTGCTTTTGCTTCTGTATCCAGCCACTCTCTGAGAAGAAGACGTTAAGAAATACAAAACAACAGTGAAGAGTTAAGCGCCCACGGTACCTTTACTGCCTGTCAACACAGTGACGCGGCCGACAAGGGAACATCATTAGGCCGCATCTCTCCAAACAAGAGATAACCGTTACAATGGCATTGATATTCTCCACACTGTCCTCTCTACATTTCTTCTGGTACTGACCGGGAGAATTTGTTTGACAATCAGTGACTTTCTATTCTCGTGACCGTTACATGTAAGGGGACTTTAAAAACCAATCACTCTAAGGAGTTCAAGGGTTAAAAGTTATGTTATTGACGTGGGGGTGGGGGTGGGGGTTAGAATTAGCATTAGATCAACGTGATGAATTGTTCCAGGTCTAAATTAAAGTCTTCTCATGGCAAGACGCTATAAAACTTCACTTAGATCCTGGTTTGCTTTGGCACACTTCGTAGGCCTAACAGCCATCTAAGACAACTGTCAGGTGCGAGAAGCATGCTCAGGATGCTCATCTGTTTCTTGTGGGACAGAGGAGATACAAAAGTTCGTGTCACAGTGTAGGGACCTGTCACAAATCCTTTTGGTGTCTTTCTCCTTAATTTACTAATTATCTTCAAGATCTAAAACAGGAATAACAAATTGTTATCTTAGATCACATTCTTCTACTCACATCAGTTTGCCCACCGATTTTTCCTGCTCTATGGGATCAAACTCAACATTCTTAAGTGAACACAACAACTCAAGCTCCTTACTCTTGGCCTGTGAAACAAAAATAGAGAAATGCACCACACTTAAAAACAGTGAGATGGATACTAAGTACTTTATCCATTGATAGTAAGCCCGCACGCTTATCTGGAAGAGCCGCCTACTCCTATAAAAACCAAAATAAAAGAACTAACGTATATGTGCACGATCCTTCGCAGTAAAGCACTATTTAATCAATAGTGAAAATCAGACCTGAAAAAAATTCAGGCCTGTACGGGATTCGAACCACTGACCTCTGCGATACTAGTGCAGCGCTCTACCAATTGAGCTAACAAGCCAACTGGGAGCAGGCCATCAAATTAATTCNCCTAACAGGGCTGGCGTCAAATCTACAACCTCCAAGCTATCAGTCTCTGGGTGTAACTTCAAGTTTCAGGGGTAAAAGGGGAGTCCCGTACCGCGGTCACCGAGGCTAACAAGGTCGGTGTCAAAGCTCCAAACCCCTGAGTATCTCCCAACTATCAAGGTTCTGGGGTAATGTGGGGATTGGGTATACCAGGGGCTCCGAAGATGCAGTTACATCCGCAGTTACATCACATTAATTGTTATGTGAGGATAGAAATACTGTGTTGATTTGTAATGTACGGCGTTGTGAGATATATTAGGGACCTTAAGCAAACCACGACGGCACGGCAACGAGAACGTGGAAAAACAATAGATCTAATTAGCAGAACAATAGCTCAGCACGTGCATTTTAAAACTTAGTACATTTCTCAGCCGTCCTTTGCAAAACGATAACGTAAAATCAGCAAAATTTGCGTCGTCTGCGAACCGAAACCGCAACGGCAAATTATTTCAATTTCCATTTACAACTCAACGCTACTTTAATACGTTATGTTGAGTCTGAGTTGTGGCGCCGTATGAGATGGTAAACACATGCAGCCATTTTCTAAATTCTAATTAAAAGTAGAAATTCATTTTTTAATTGACGTCTTCCATGGCGTTGCCGTCCTGACTGCTTAAGGTCCCTATTACTTCAACACAAGGAGGTATGGAAATCTTGAGGAAAAAAACTTTTTAAAGAGGATTTCGAGTGGGCCCTTCCAAGAAGCACAAGAAAAAGAAGTATGCTATATTTGCATATAAAGAAAAGTGGACGATAACACATCGAATCATATTCAGTCAGGCTTATACCACTTTTTAACTTTCTCCATCAAGGTAACACGCCTTTAACACGGAGTAAAGTACTTTTCAAATAGTCTTCTCACCTTTGTAATAGTTTAGAGTCGAGTAAATGCTGGCAAGCATCTTCGGCCTCCGTGTTTGCAGGGCCCTGGTACCTAACCATCAGCAGGCTGTGGGTGAGTACCGAGAGGTTTAGGTACAAGTCGTCAAAGAACGGCAGGTTAGAAGGTTTTTCCTCGTGCTCCTGAAAAGCAAAGAACGATAGGTTAGAAGAATTTTCCTCGTGCTCCTGAAAAGCAAAGAACGATAGGTTAGAAGAATTTTCCTCGTGCTCCTGAAAAGCAAAGAAGCACAGGTTAGGAGGTTTTTCCTCGTGCTCCTGAAAAACAAAGGACAATGATTTGGAAGACATATTCCATTAGTCAAGGAAACTCGTACCACCCTCTCCACTAATCAGATGCAAAACTAGAATCAATTGCCTGTTCGTAACTCGAATAGCTCCTCGTGATTCAACCATTATGTAGCTGGTGTAACTTGAAAGCACCAGAGAGATTGGAAAAGGGGGGGGGGATCTAATTATTTACTTTTTAATAGAGACTTAAGTCGACGAGAGATTTTTGTAATTTTTCCTTTTCTTTTAATTATCTTAGGGGGGGGGATTGTGCCTTTTCCTATTATTGATTTAATTAAAAATAGTCTTGTTTTTAGCCCAGGGGGTTAGTCCTGGGGTTTTAGGGAAAAAAAAATATTTAGTCTAGGTTATACATGCTAGTGTATGCGAACAGGTGAGGATAAAATAAAAAAATTTTTTTTATTTGTTGTATTAAAAAAAGAAAAGTTTTTTATTCTTTTTTTGAAGATGCATAGTTTAACCACATTTTCACTGAAACAAAAGAAAACCTTTGGCAGCAGTAATGGATTTTATGTAATATACGAAAGTAAGACATAGGTGGGATAAAAAAAATCTGTCAAATATAAGTGCCAGCAGACGCGGTAAAACTTAAGGATTTATTTTTTAATAAAAAGCAAAAAGCGTGTTAAGGATTTTTAAAAAAAAAAAAATAAATAGAATTTTTTTCGTAATTGTGAAATGTTGGAATGAAAAAAAGAATTTTTTATATGAAAATAATTTATTTTTTTTTTCTTAAATACGAAGGTTTTGGGAGCAAACAGGATTAGAGACCCTGGTAGTCTATACAGTAAAAGAATATCGCTTGAGTAGTACGGTCGCAAGATTGAAATTCAAAAGACTTGGCTGTTCGGTTGTTAATTAGAGGAGCGCGTCGCTTAATTCGATAATCCGCGAGAGACCTTACCGAAGTTTGAATTTATTAACAGGTGTTGCATGGCCGTCGTCAATTTCTGTTTGAGACAAAAAGGGGTTTAATCCTATCAAGGTTGAAGTCAGGTATTATGACCCTTATATTTCGGGGTTAGGCGCGCTACATTTTTCTCTTAGAAAAGGAGGGGTTCGGATTGTTTTTAAAATAAGATAATGAAGTTGGATTTAATAGTAATTGAAAAGTAGTGCGTTTCAATGAACGTGAAAACAATGTTAGTACAAATAGCCCGTCGCCAGCCCAGAAATAGGCTGTAAGTCGTAACATAGTAAGAGTGAGGGAACTGGCTCTTGATGCAGTTTCATTCGTATCATTTAGTTGAGCCTTCTCCATGGCCTTTTGTTGGAGCAATTGGCTCTTTTTTTATTACTGTTGGTGCAGTGGTTTTTTTTCATTATGGGTTTAGTTTTTTTTTATATTTGGGGCTTTTGGTTGTTGTTGGAGTTATGTTTGTTTGATGACAAGATGTTATACGAGAATCAACTTTTCAAGGTCACCATTCTTTAATTGTAAAACAAGGGATTAAATATGGTATGATTTTATTTATTCTTTCAGAAATTTTGTTTTTTTTTTCTTTTTTTTGGGCTTTTTTTCATAGTAGTTTAGCACCGGTTGTTGAACTTGGAGTTGTTTGGCCTCCACAAGGAATTGTTGCATTAAATCCCTTTTCTGTTCCTTTATTAAACACTGCTGTATTATTAAGTTCTGGGGCAACGGTTACATGGGCGCACCATGCAATACTCTGTGGTTTAAAAAAAGAGGCTCAACTTGCTTTATTTTTAACTCTTTTTTTGGGTGTTATGTTTACGGGGTTGCAAGCATTTGAATATTATGAGGCGCCTTTTACTTTATCTGACTCTGTTTATGGGGCCACTTTTTTTGTTGCGACAGGGTTTCATGGACTACATGTTATAATTGGTACTACTTTTCTTTTTATTTGTTTTTTACGTTTACTCTCTAATCAATTTACTCGTCGTCAACATGTTGGGTTTGAGGCCGCGAGTTGATACTGGCACTTTGTCGATGTGGTTTGATTATTTTTATATTTATGTATTTATTGATGAGGCTCATAAAAACTTCTTTAATGCAAAATCTTTTTGTTTTTACTTTTTTTAGATATTTTATAAATGTTTTGGCTTGGTTGTCTGTTCTCTGGTTTAATCATCTTTATTATTCGGACAGTCCAGAGACTTGACTTTTAGAGTTTCAAGATGTTGGGGATCCTATTGTAGAAGAAATTGTTTTTTTTCATGACCAAGTTATGTTTTTATTAATTATTATAGTTACTGTTGTTTTATGACTTTTTGTTGAATCTTTTAAAAATAAGTTTTATGATCGTCATTTAATCGATGGTACATTTTTAGAAATTGTTTGAACGATTATTCCTGCTGTTATATTGATTTTTATTGCATTGCCCTCTCTTAAATTATTATATTTAATGGATGAGGTTATTTCTCCAGCTTTGACAATTAAAGTTATTGGGCATCAATGATATTGATCCTATGAATATTCTGATTATGAAGGGGATACGTTAGGGTTTGATTCTTATATGATTCCTACTTCGGATTTAGTTTCTGGAGAGAATCGTTTGTTAGAAGTTGATTATAAACTTTTAATTCCTATTCAAACACATATAAGATTTTTAGTTACTGGGGCAGATGTTTTACATTCTTTTGCAGTGCCTTCTTTGGGGTTAAAAATTGATGCGGTTCCGGGTCGTCTAAATCAAACTGGTGTTTTTATAAAACGAGCCGGGGTTTTTTTTGGACAATGTTCTGAAATTTGTGGGGCAAATCATTCTTTTATGCCAATTGTGATAAAGGGAGTTGGTTTAAATGAATACGTTCAATATTTAAATTATTTAAAATGTATTATAAATACTTAGTTATTATTATTATTTTATTTTTATTGGGGAGTTGGGGTATAATTTTAAATAGAGGACATTTTATTATTATGCTTGTTTCTATTGAATTAGTTTTATTATCAACTTTTTTTTTTTTTTTAATAAGCTCTAAAGAAATAGATCTTTTAATAGAAGAAAAAATTATAACATAACCAAAGTAAAGCGCGCGCTCTGATTGGTCAATTTAGCGTCCCCCATTTGCCCATGGGTGTACGCTGCTGACGTGAGCAAATGCAAAGACTATTTTTCCGCGCGCGCTTGTTTTTTCTGGTCGCGTAAGATTTGTTAAATAAAAGGGAACTCTTTAGCTACAATGTATCAATGTTATGTTATAAAACAAATGGTAAACACCACAGCGTACACTATTGAGTTATGGATGCACGCGGGAGGTTGCTAAGCACGAAAGAAGCGTAAGAGTCGCTCGAGGCGATAGCCGAGAGCGACTCTAGCTTCTTGAGTGCTTAGCAAACCTCCCAAGTGCATCCATAACTCAATAGTGTACGCTGTGGTGTTTACCATTTGTTTTATAACATAACATTGATACATTGTAGCTAAAGAGTTCCCTTTTATTTAACAAATCTTACGCGACCAGAAAAAACAAGCGCGCGCGGAAAAATAGTCTTTGCATTTGCTCACGTCAGCAGCGTACACCCATGGGCAAATGGGGGACGCTAAATTGACCAATCAGAGCGCGCGCTTTACTTTGCTTATGTTATAATTCATTTTCTGACCCTTGCTGCAGTCACTGTTAAGTTGGTCACACTTTGTACAAAGATCTTAGCCATGGACAGTGTGAGACATCTCTCAGAGGACACGACTGATGCCAGGACAGGGAGAGTCTGTCCCACAAGGGTGGCCTTCATCACATGCTCGAGTCCCTCAACTCTTGATTTTACATTTCCTTTGCACTCCTCTGACAGCTTGGAGAGAACTTCTAGAACAACATCAAGAATCTAAAGAAAACAAAGATCATACATATAAATATTACTGAAACAATCTCAATCTAAATGAAGAGAACCTTATACTAACAACTTAAAAATAATGGGAAATAAAGGGGGAAAATCAGTTTGGAATAAGATTTGAGCTATCACTGCAAATAATACATCTATCCGTGGGGAAAATGAACTATTCTACATCCATGTTATACAACCCTACTGGCCAAAAGTACTGGCACAACAAATCTTGGTTTTATGGAAATAAAGTAACAAAGGGGTACCACTACTTCCTTTATATGAGATACTAGTCCATGGCAAGTTACCACCCCCCCCCCTCCCCCAACCTAATTTTGTCAGGTTTTCCTGACAATAGGGAGATTTAGCACCACGGTTACGTGGAACAGCAAACGTGAGCTGGCCCTTTCACGTTTCACCTTGGACCTTTCTGGACCTTTCTGGACCTTTCACCTTGCTGCTTTAGCTTGGCGTGAACTCACGTCAAAGTGGATTTGAAGGCGCCCTTGTATGACTTACAAGAAATAGTTTTTGTGCCCTTTCCCGCCAACTAACTTCTACTTTGTAAGAGAAAAAGTAAAGAAAATCTTACGTACACGGCAAACGCCAACAGATTACTTTCAAGTAGAAACTGCAGGGAAACATAAGGTCAGGTGGTCACTCTTGCCATTCACGTTTTACGTACTGTAAACGCAGTATTAAATCCCTCTAATACCTTCACAGGATCTAACTCGTATAACTTGAGCTTTAATCAGACAGTGTTGGTGGACTTACTGACCTGTTGACAAGCTTCTAGAATTTTTAATGAGAGCTCCTGGCATTCAGCTACATGTAGTTTTACAGCATCATCAGAAACCTGATGAATAATTGAAACACAAAATTAACTATGAAACTATCACAACTCTTTGACTATTCAGACACTGTCAGTATCAGTAATATCATTATTCCTTGCTACAAAGACATCTGAAACATTACCAAAGAGAACATGCACCTCAACTCACACTTATGTTCGCTGATAGAAACAGAAATGTGAAACAAACATGTTTAACCTTGAGATCTGATTCCTGCTCCTCAGAGAGCACAAAAGCTCTCCAGTTTCTAATAAAGACAGCTGTGACATAGTGCAGAACAGGAGAAAGTTCCTGTATACAAAACAAAACAGGTCAGTTTAAACAATTCATAGAGTTAAAGGTCTGAAGAGCCCCACAAAACTTATTAACTGCCAAAGCCCAAAGCTATTGCCAAACTTTCAAGAGTACATAGTACATAGTAGGCTTGTTATCTGGAGGATTTAATGCCATATATTGGTTTCATTTCCATTAATGTTTTGATGATAATGTTTTCTTTTTACCGCATACTGATAACTAATTCAATTGAAATTTAACTGTCAATCACAAGTAATGTTTGAAATTTTACTTTTGCTATGTATTTCTTTAGACATTTGGACTTCGATCCAACTTGATTTCCTCAGTCTTGACTCCCAGCCAGACTCTCAAGGAATGCTAAAAAATACTTCCATGAGACAACTTACAAAAGTCAGATCCAAATTTTTAGAAATATCCACCTCTTTCAAAGGGAATCGTATCCTCAATCAAGTTGTCTTTCCAGGCAGATGATCTTCATTAAAAGGCTGGACATTATAGAGATGTTATTTACAAATTATGTAACATAGATTATAATTGACTAACTGGATGTTTGGTGACCAGAGCACAAAATGGTTCATCCTCCAGATGACTACACTGCCTGATCATGTTACATGACTCTTTGACAGATACTCTCAGAGCAGCAAACACAACATCTTCTGCAAATCTAAGGAAACAGTACAACTTTTTATATAACCCCAAAATATATCTGGCTGGTTCACGACCAATACAGAAACAGGTTCTAGAGTGCAATGCAGGATTTCCATATGGCTCTCTCTCTCAAAATTTAAGCTATGCAAGATAAATATATTTATTACATCCATTTTGAAATCACTGGTGGTCCCTGTAATCTGATTGGCTCTAATTGGTGCAATTTATTCACCAATCGCACCATTTTTTGCTCTAAATTGCATCATTTTATGCTTGACTGAGTTTTTGACACATGACATCAGTCTTTCTGTTTTGCATAAAAAATAAGATGTAAAAGCATTTCCGGTTCCGCTTTTTGTTGAAAAAACCGGCTCAGTACTGCATCAACAAAATAATTGAATTGACCAAGTCCTGTATTTGGATGATTTCAAAATGGATGTAATAAAGCAGTAATTGAACCTCGTGTTGTGCAATTTTGGTCTGAAATGATACTTGTGATTTCAAATCGAACTTGTGCTGCGTGCTCGTTCGATTTTGAATCACGTGTATGATTTCAGCCCAAATTGCACTCCACTCAGTTCAATTACCATTCTGTAATAGCTGCTATAAACCAAATATCATCTACTGGTAAATCTGACAATGACTCTTCAAGACTCATCTCAATTTCAAAAGTCCTGCCCTTTTCTACCACCTTCATCCACACAAACATTATAAAATTTAATCCAGCCATGCCCAAATCAAGGAAGGGGGAGGGGGGATGAGAAGATTCTTGCCACTCCCTTTCTCTCTTTAAAATTAAGCATTCTCAGACAGTAGAAAACTGACAAATGTCATCAAGTGAAATCATGAGGTCATTGTCTTTGGCTACACTCCTCAATAATAATTCATTTCTAAAATGTTTGATCCTTACACTATTTATCATTTATGGCTATCACATATAACTTTGGACTTTACCTTGCCTTAGATGATGCCTCAGGTTTATGACTCATTAAGTTCTCAGTTAAATTTGTGAGTAAAAAATTCAATAGTATTGCCATGTCTGAAGAAGACTCTCCCTCGGACAATAGAAGCATTAGCAGAGCACTCCTCTCCAGTGGAGTGGAATAAAACACTTCCATGCCAACTGTCAACACCTTAGAAGCTTCGAGCTTGATTTCAGCTCCGATGGAATCAGAAGGAGACTGAACCAGTTTCCAAACAAGATGCTTTACTTCTTTAACAGAGTTGTCATCAAGCTTGATTGTGCTTTTACTAACTTGTATCAAAAGAGTTTGTAGTGCAACTAGCATGGCTATTGTGACATCATGTTGGCCATTGGTGATGGCAGCATTTAAAACATTGCAGATATGCCTTATGCTACAAAAGTCAGAAGTATCACCAAAATAAATCTCCTCATTTTCTATTACAGCCACTTTTGTCTTAGCATTTTGTCGTCTACAGAGGTATGTTATGTGATGTGCTAGTAGCGAAGAAGCCTCCATTGGGTCAACTGAATCTTGTGTAGTTACTGCTATTGGTAAAAAAAATAATAAAAACGAAACAAAATATAATTTACTAAAAACAAAAATCATGACAGTGAATGATATTCTTCTTCTGGCTTTTTGAACTTGTTTCTGTTGTTGTCCATTAAACAGGTCTCACAAGAAAGAATCTCCAAAAATGAAATTAAGGTTATTTCCTAACCTGCACTTTGAGAGCTTGAAGTTCCCAGTAGCTGAGATATTTGACTGCAGGATGGAAGTCCACCAGCCACCCATTCACCAATATGACTGCAGCAATAACTCCACAGCCTACTGTTAACTGCATCATGACAGACACCTGTGAATTGATTTTTTTGAGTCTACATTACAACTAGTATCTTTCAAGTTTTGATGTGCTAAGGGATCGTTCCCTAAATAAACGTTGCTTATTGGTTGGGTAAGCTTTTGGTTGGTCTGCAAACAACTCAGATGAGTTTTCCAACAACTTAGGTTGGTTTGCTAATAAATTAAGTAAGCTTCCTAACAACAGTGTTGGTTTGCTAAGAAATTAAGTATGCTTCCTAACACCAGTGTTGGTTTGCTAACAAATTAAGGAAGCTTCCTAACAACAGTGTTGGTTTGCTAACAAATTAAGTAAGCTTCCTAACAACAGTGTTGGTTTCCTAACAACCTTCTTTAGGTAAGTTTACTAACAACTTATGTTAGTTTCCCAAAAACTTAGATGACTTCTGTCAATGACAACTTCCTGATAGGTGAGTCCATTATTAACTCTGGTGAGTTCACCAACAAGTTTAAAGTGTGAATAAAATGTCTTCAAATGTCTTCCTAATACAGACTTTGGGTTACAACATGATTCGATCAGAATATCCATGTCCACTTAATAGAACTTTCCACTGAAAAGAGGTCAATTTTATAGTCTGGTCAAGATGGGGTTACAAACAAAATCAGGACTTAAGCTGATGCCTGCCTAATGCATAATAGAAGGTCTGCTTACAAAGTTTATTGTTATTAGAAGTGTACTTACTTAGTCCTGGTGCTATTAAATCTTGCCACTTTGGTGAAGCTGAGTTAACAACAATCTCATGCTTAACACAAGAACCATCCACAGTTGAGAAACAATAATTCGTTGGATCTAGAAAAGAAAGAAAACCCAGACAAATTCAGATCTAAAAAAAATGTCTAAAGCATTGGGTTTCTCATTCAACTCCCTCTCAAAAAGAAATAAGATGGTCATGTCATTATACAGAGAGCTTACTTTGTTATATTTTTATCTCATAATTATTATTACTAAAATCATTATCATTATCATCTTTAATATCATTACTACTTTTTAAAAGTTAAAGAGGACTCACTAGAAAGAACTGAGAAATACTGTATCAGTACTCACAGATCAAAGCTGTGGTCTAGCAGCGCCCGGTGGCCCCTGGCGCCTTACTTTTGTTCTTGGGCGACTCAGGAATTTTAGTTTTTTCATAAAAAGTATATGCAGGGCACCCTGGATTTCACAGTTTCAGAGCAATAGGCTCCATTCAATTTTCCTTAGAGCACAGCCTTGCAGATATTACATAAAGAGATCTAATATCTAAAAAAAATAGATCAATGTCCACATGTGTGTTAACAAAATAATTTATATGCCCTACTTTTTTGTCCCCTAAGTGACAGCAGTATGGGACCAGATGGACTGGTAAGATGTGGAACTACCATGACCAATGTTTCACCACTGATGAACATGGCTGACTGCTTCAGAGTAGTCATTGATACACCGCAGCTGACAATATCTAAAATCCATCGATAACCAAACAAATTTAATGTCAGAGATGTCACACACTTTAAATATTAGAACACAACAATCTTGAAAACTTGAATTTTATCTCTTTTTTGCCTGGTATGTTTATAAAAATAAAATTTGAAGAATTGTAAGGGTAATGGGTAACTTTCTTGGTGAGCTCAAAAATTATTTGGGGCCTTGAAAGAGGAAGTGAGATACATGTAGCATGGTGAGAAAATGAATGAATTAAAAAATCCTTTTAGAAATAATATTTACAGTTTGTTCTATCATTCAGTACCCTATATTGTAACAACAGATCCCAAGATAAGTGTTTTTGTTAGTGGTGAGAACTCATTGCAAGTAAAAGTGACATTCAGCTGTAGTTCAAAATGTATCATTGATATTGACTGCATTGAAACCCCACCCCCAAAGAAGGTAATGAGTTACCATCAGTATCTTTTTGTCCAGTAGGTGTTGTAGGTGAATGTCTGACAGGCAATGGTGATGACAAACAAGAAGGAGGTTCTTCCCTCTTTGACACAACAACTGGTTCTTTACAAGGAGAGGCTTTTAAGCTATCATCACATGCTTCTAATTTGAATTCTTGTAGCCACAAATCCACTTTTCTACTCTCTTGACGGGCAGATTCTGATGGTTTTGAACACCACAGCCAAAATAAATGAACCTGATCACTCAGTAATTGTATTGTTTTGCATTGCAGAGCTTGGGTTTCATCATCTCCTGCTTCACCTGCATCCCTAAATGCTATTGTCTGTAAGACCTAATAAAAAAGAAAACCAAACTCAGGAGGGGAGAATGGCTTTTTCAGATTTTAGGTTATGGTCATTTCTTGAATTTATTTTAATTTTCACTTTGAGTTTTCTTATCTTATAAAAAAATGTGTTTAGTTGGCCTTTGATTTCCTTATCAAGTCCATTGGCCTCATCATTGCAAGGAGGAATTCACCTCAAGCTTTTTACCTTCTTCAAAACTGATTACAGGATACACTGAAAATGTCCTGAATTTAAGTTTGATTAAATTACCTTCAGGGACACTACATCCAGAACATAACATAAGTTTGCAGGTTGGTTATCAAATTGCTTTGGTCGAAATAACAACCACTGTTGTACAAAAGTTAGCCATCCGTTCTTTAGATCAGTATTTCGGGCATATATAGCCCCCCTATAGGAACCAAAAACAAAAAACACATCAAGATCAAATCAGAGACTGAGTTGATATATGTCCCATCTCAGTAAAAAGTTTGTGTAAGCTACCCTCAGTGATTTTCAGGTTTCCATGATAGTTTACAAGTGCTGTATGTAATTTTAAGAATTTATTTAATATATCAATCCAGGAGTAGATTATTCCTGTACAAAGCTACTTTCAGTAAACTCCCTCAGGAAGTGTAAGCAATACAGAGGCCTAACGTACAGTTGGCATGCCATGCTCTCAGGGTTACAAGCTCCACATTTGAGCCCTGATCAGGTCTGTAGAGTTCAAGGGGAAGGACACTGGACTCTCATAGTACCTCGTTCTACCCAGGAGTACATACATGTACACCCCACAGCTAACTGTCAGAGAAACCTGGCAATAGCTGGAGTTACTGGTAAAGGAATATTTATCCATCCAGGGGAAGTGGTAACACTCCCACACTTCCAGACAAATTTGTTGGGACACCTACTTCCTAGCCCCTCTTTATTGCAGGCTGTTTGTAGCAATATTAAAAAATTCTTTCATTCAACCATTCAACTGCAATTCAACCGTTCAATTCAATCCCAATTCAACCATTCAACACCCCCATTCAACCATTCAAGAATCTATTCAACTATTCAACCCTAATTCAACTATTTGACCCCAAACAGCCTGCCACACCTCTTAGTGTTGGTCTGCAAGATGGCCACAACAATTGGGAACAAACAGTATTAGAAGGAAGTGAGGGACAAAAGAACACCATGGAGAAGTATTCCAACTAATTATGGATGGGAGTGTGGTTGCATCATGCTATTGAAACCAAAATAGGATCTGACCAGTTGCATCAACAGGTTCATCAGCTAACTTCACCCTATGGGCATGCGAATAATTTAGAAGCAAACCTGACTAGTAAATGCAGCTATACATTTACATTTAGATAAAAACATCATTATTAAAAGAACTAATTATCATGGTGCAGAATAACCCTGCATATTACATTCACCTGAAAGTTCCCAACTTTCCAGTACCAATCTTGACAAGCCCTTTACTTTCCCTGCTTACAAGGTACAAGAACTTTCCATCACAAGCAAGAGTATTAATCTGGTCACTGTTGTATATTGAATCATCAAATTCAGTTAAACTTGTGTGAAATTGCCAGCTAGAGATAAACCGAGAAGTTTGTATCACACTAAGTTCACTGAATGAACCTTTCCTTTCATATTCTGCCATTCTCTTCAGTACGGCACCAACAGGTAGTTTAGCCAGTGGAGTCCTCTGCTGCAGAAGGACATCAAGTACTTGAATAAATAGGTGCCCAGACAGCCTGCAAATGATTAGTGCTATATCAATTCAATGAGTAACATGGTTTGTTAATTATGGCGTGCAATGTATATTGTACATCAAAGGCTTTGTTCACCATAGCTTGCATAAATTTGGCAAAATAATTCTTTTTCAGTCTTCATAAAGGTTAGTACTACCATTCATACTGATACTGATAAAAGGTGTAATAAAATAATTATCATGATAATAATAAAAGTGGCTGACCCAGAACTTAAGGTGAAGGGAACCTGACCAATTAAGTTTTGGTGACCCAAAACAATTTTGGTATGGACATATTTCATTACTGAGTTCCTTTCTGATCCACCACTACTGCAATATCGAATACTTCATAAATTCTCATTTTTTTAGAGCTAGAAAAACGTTTTCAGGTTAAGACTTCTATGCTTTATTTGTTTGCTTTATTTGTTTGCGTAACTTCCCACAAGAACTAAATTGACAGCTTTAATGGATAAGGATAAATAAGTTTTGACAGAGAAAAAGAAAGATCCCATTCTGAAAGATGCTATCTTTTAATATACCCCTCTTACTTTCCCGTATAAGCATCCTTCCTGTGTATAATTGAAAATGTCTTAGAATGAAAAACACCTGTTACAATCAAGGCTCAAGTACTGACTAGTATTACTATGGTGGTGAATTTACATATATCATGTGAATCCCTAAAAGAGGACTCAATCCCCTATGTGTGAGTGGGTCAAGTGGTCGGCAATGATGAAACTTGAGCCGATAATAACAAACTACACTTATTTAATCAATAACATGTCAACTGTCAATTATTGCTATTTCATAATACATGCATTTGTTACCTCGCGCAAGCTAAAGCGACAAGAGCCGCAACTAGACTCTCTCGCTTTACTCCACACCGAGCCAGTTCTTCCTGTCTATTGACATCCTCTTCATCGTTGGCTTGTTGGAGCCAACTGCACAACAAATCAGCCAAACCTTTGATGCAGCTTGTAGGCTCAGCTGCGAGAGAGTTTGGAGCACAATTTTGAAGACAATGTAGTAGCAATTCTGAACACTGTCCAGCTAGAGAAGGATCTGTCCGACTTTGAGATTCTAAAATAGGAACTAGAAGGAGAAGGCTAACATGGGACGAAAAAGAAACATCCTGCAAAGGAACTTTCGGTTTTGCGTCTTTGGGATATGGATCAACAGCAGGAGGGCGAGAATTTTTCGATGATGTTGTTAACTTGGAGTTCTGTGACTGCCAGAGGCCCAGCAAAGCACGCTGACGATAATCAAAAAGCTTGTAGTAAGAGCTGTGTTGTAGAGCACATGTATCCAGAAGGCGTCGGCAAAGTTCCGTGTTTGAAGAAGTTTCAAACTCGTGCTCCGAAATGCGCTGCACGAATGTGGAGCACTCTGTAGACATAGCAGGCGGTTGGAGAACCCCCACAAGAAATTTAAGGCCATCGTCAAGAAAAATACTTTGTTCAGTGACAGAAGACCAGGCATCAGAGTCAGTTGTAACGGTATTTGTCATGTTTCATTCATTTCGATTCCGGAAAAGAAAGCGGTGATCAACATGGCGCGACACTTTTCTTGATCTTTGAATTTGCCTCGCTTCAATGCTCCTATGGTGACGCTGTGGTCACGCAAATTGTTGACCACGATAGAGAAAGCGTGATTCTTTACATGAGTGACTAAATCAAAGTTTCAAGATGGCGGATGGTGAGACTCAGACTCCCCAAATTATATGCCAAATTTATATATATATTTAAAGATTATGATTCTAAATGAAAGGTTTTTTTTTTCAGAAAATATTTCAAATCTTTTGGTGGTTATTCTTGACGCCAATCCAGTGTGGTGGGGAAGAACTAGTAACGAAGAGCAACAACGGGTTAGACTGCCCAGTTAATATTTTTTTATTTTAGAACAGGTTGAGTTTTGTGCCAGCAACTAATTTGAGAGAAACATATAAGTGTAGAAAACCCACTCTATCAAATATCTGATAGGTAACTTTTGAATTTATTGCAATCTTTTATACTGTAGTTTTAAGTCCCAAGATCAACGATGGAACGAGTTCTCTTAACTATCGATCGTGAATTTCTTAGCTTCCTTGAGCTGCTCCAGAAAATTTGATGATATACCCAAACAAAATCTTCTAGTTGATGTTTTGTTTAATTCTCACAACCCGTTTGCTTTACACTGTTTTGAAATTGTAGGGAGAATTGACATGTATTGATCCCTCATGGGAGCTAGGGGGTTAAGCTGACATAATTTAGGAATGCCTTTGGCAAGTTCCGGAGATTTGATGGTCTGTCTAGTTTGAAATGAGACAGTCAAGTTTTTTTTTTTCATGACCTAGGTCTTATTTTTCAGGTGTGGTGAAGGTGATTTTTATTTTGCATTTCAGATCAGTTTGACACACTGTGTGGACAGTCTCATGGTGTTTTGTAATGCACATTTGATGATGCAGCACAGCAACTGCCTTTCTTTTATCATTTCACACACCAATACAAGGTTTGGTCAGGCATAAGTCAGTTTCTTAATCTATTAGCAGATGATGTAATGTGCAAGGCCCAGTTATATAAAGGGGCAGATAATGCTTTCCAACAGATAAATCGCTATCCAGTGGATAAGTAATTAGAGCAAAACATGCTGTGCTATCCACTGGATTGTATTTTATTTATTTATAACCTTCGAACAACCAGGGCCAGGTGCATATGTAGTGTCAGTCTGTCATTACCAACTCCCATGTTTTGGGTGTAACTGGGTCATCCCTGGTGAAAAACCTCACAGGATCTTAAAGGATCATTGAAGATTGTCAAAGACCCATCAAAGATTTAATAATGAGAAAAATTTTGTATTTCAAATAGTAAGTTTGTGTTTCCAAAAGAAGACTCTGGTGAGGATATCAGTGGTAATGGTCAAAAAGAGCTTCTAACAGATGGGAAATATGAAGGCTTTGCTGAAGTAAATGATGCAATCATTACAGAAATGAAGAGTCTGTTGTCTACAGAAGATTTAACAGGTAAAAAACCCAGCATGTTGATGAAAGTTATTATCTGTCTTGGTCAAAATGATTAAATAAGATCAAACTTGTCTTAACTTGTTCTAGCCTAAAATCGTTTTCAATAAGAGCATGTACATAATTATATTATTTTATATTCTTTTTGGGCAACTTAACTGGAGACGGTTAGATACTCAGCAACAAATACAAGTGGCCACCATGGTCTATAAATCTATACATGGTCTTGCGCCCGACTATCTTGGTTCTCTTTTCACTAAATATGATCCTCCTTATAACCTAAGGAACTCTGAAAACAAACTAGCTGTTCCATTGCCCCGCACCAATTTCCTGAAAAATAGCTTTAGCTATAACGGTGCGGTTATCTGGAATAGCTTTTCCCCTGAATTGCGGCAAGCAAAATCACTTCAATCTTTTTGAAATGGTTGTCGCAATTTCTTCGTCTGAATCGACAAAACGCACACAGCATCTATGTAAAGCAGAATTTCTTTATTTTTTCTATTTCACTTTTAAATTTTAGATCATGTTTACATAGATTAAAGTAGATTGTAATTGTAATAATAGATTGTAATAATATTATTATTTTATCTGATAGATTTACCGTGTCTAAAATAAAAATAAAGTTCAAGTTCAAAGCTCAAAGTTCTTTTGATCTGTTTATCACACATCACTCATGGATAAGTTTTTAAGGTCATAATACCTGATACACTCACAGTCCTTGTCTACTCCCCTGTATTTTTGTTTAACAATGTAAAATGTGTTTAAATTAGCAGTTTTAAGAAGATATTCTATTGTTGTCCAACAGATAGCCAAAGCACAGAATTGCCTCCAACACTTCTTGCCAATGCCTTAACAATGGCCTTGTGCTGTATCCTTTTATTAACAGGGATTAAGCATTTAATTCCAAGAAGTGATCACAACATTATTTATCCTTATTATAAACACATTTACTCCATTTATCTGCTAACAGGTAATAAGAAGAGACAAGCTTATCAGCTGGTGTTAACTTGGTACAACACCAAAAGGAATTCTACACACATACACACACACACACACACACACACACACACACACACACACACACACACACACACACACACTCTGCAGGAGATGGGGCCTACGGTTTATTCATCCTTATCCGAGAAGTATAGAAAGGTAGCAAATTCTCCTCACTTATTTTAAGACCATGAGTATCGGTCTGGCCGGGGCTGGAACCCTCGACCTCCCGCACAACACAATCTGGCGCTCTAACCAATTGAGCTAACCGGAAGGCAGTTCTCTTATTCTCTTATATAATAACTAATTTACAATGAAATATATCTTAAATGCTCAACAAATTTTGGGGTACTATGAATAATGTCTGTAGACCCTTCTTAAAGTGGCCTATAAGAATCAGAACCTTTTATTGAGTGTTTCAGTGGAGAAAAAAAAATGACTTATTTTAAATCTTAACAGAAATTAGACATTCACAGAGCTGAAAAAGAATGCCCAGGTAACAATTTATATTTTATGTACCATTATATAAAGTTTAAGAACTTGATGGACAGCACAGGTATACAAGTCATGTAATTTTATTACAGTCAATGACTTTCTTTGATTTGTAATTTTTTATTTTATGCAGTACTCTGGCCTGAAGGCAGGCCTGTTATTGGAAATGTAGCCAACTTTGTCAGGGGATACAAACCAAAGGCTCCTTGCCAGGTCTTCCCTTATGCTTACCTTGGCTCTACATTGTAAAAGTCTTTTTACGAACCAAGTGGCCCATCAGACCTGTGCTTAGCCCTGGCTTTTAGAGCATATATTAAGTGACTAGGAGTATTCTACTCTCCCAGAATGGGGTGCTAGACAAGTCCATCGCAGGGTTACCCCCAGTATTTAAACCCCTGGGTGAAGAGAGGCTCTGTGAGAGTAAAGTGTCTTGTCTAAGAACGCAACACAATGTCCTAGGGCTCCAACCCTGACCACTTGATCTGAGGTCAAGTGCACTAACCACTAACCATGAGGCCACCAAGTCTCTCAGCTATCCATTGTACCTGTGCACAGTTGGGAGCTACTTGTAGTGCTCCATGAACTGTTACCCTTTATCCTTGATGCAAACTTCCACCCAATCCTTATCCAAATAAATACACTTGCTTGGAAACATCATAGCTGCTACTTCTTAAACTATATTTTAGACACCCACTTCTCAAACTTAAGTCTGTGATTACCCATTGCAAGCAAAATTGTTAGTTTTAGTGTGTTTAGTTAATTGGTACTAATTACTTTTTTCTAAAAATCTTATGCTTCAATTAGTTGGACAGAAGATCAAGTCTCGCATTTTGGTAAGCACAATAAAGAGATTACCAAAGTTTAAAAAAAATGAATAAGCTCTACACGTAAGTGAAAATACTTATTGTTAGATGCTGTTTGTACCTATACTGTACCAAACATATTTACATTTTTCAGTACTCAAGTTTTCATTAACATTTACACTGTTACAGCACTCCCAGAAGTGAGAAAAATGTACTTCAATCTGCTAGGGCAATGGGGATAGATTGCTATTGATTGTTGTCTTGATGTGGCCCCAAAATAATTTACCAGGAAAGGCATAGCAGCTACAAAGACAAATTATCAATCAGGTTGTGCAATTCAAGTGAAAGGTTGACAGTCAAGTGCTCTAATCTTTCATGACCTCTAGGTTCTCAAAGCTGCACCAGATGTCTCTACACAGTATATGCCGATAATGAACTGCATATTTGCTGCTCAAAAAAGTGTAAGTAGAAATTCTTATCTTTCTTTAGATAGAGAGATAGATAGATAGAGAGATAGATAGAGAGATAGAGAGATAAACTGATAGAGAGATAGATAGATAGATAGATAGATAGATAGAGAGATAGAGAGATAGATAGACAGATAGATAGATAAATAGTTTATTTAATATATAACTTTGCAACCCAAAAGTTGAATTACATCATATTTACATGGTAAAAAAAAACGACTAAAATAAATGTATACCCAGCTCTGCTAATGCAGCATTGAGCACTTTATGCCAAGGTAGGCTCTACCCTCACATTTATATATATATATATATAAATCCCTACATAATTAAAGGGATTAAAACTATATCTACAAGTGCAAACTATTAAAATATGGGATCAGAAATTTGAAACAATCATGAAACTTTTGCGAAATCTCACAGTCTTGAAAACCGCATTGAACATGTAGTAGTAGTAGTAGTAGATTCTTTATTTATACACGATAAGAATTAAAGCTAAAAAGCTTGTGGGGCGTGTACTTAACAAAATAGTATCTAGCCAACTTATGATTATACTGAGACACATTTCAAACTAAATAAGAAACTATAATACAATAAAACATTCAGTTTCCTCTAAACTTAAAAGTACTTGTAATCAGTTAATCTATTCCTAGCCGTCAAACCTGATAAACTAGTAAAAGTAAAGCTTGTGAAGTGATTGTTTCTCATGTGTGACTTCCTGAGGTTATAACACTTGGTATTTTGTGGGGGAAGTAAATTCTTAAGCTTACTGTCTTTGTTTTCCAAAATGTTCTTAAAAAGTTTGTCCCTC